AAGCGTGTGATCCAGATCCTGTCTGGGTTTACATAGAAGCGTGTGATCCAGATCCTGTCTGGGTTTACATAGAAGCGTGTGATCCAGATTCTGTCTGGGTTTACATAGAAGCGTGTGATCCAGATTCTGTCTGTTTTCTGAGCTGCAGATCTGGTGAAGCAGTTCTGCACCAACAGACCCAGGAAAACAGGACGGTTTCAGAGCCGCATTCCTAAACGCTCCGAGCCAAAACCACCTGATGGCGTTGCAGTTATTTCTGAGCGCGGTCTGCAGAGCAAGACGGGATGTAATGACAGGTTCTGCTGATGTTTGCTCCACCTGCTGCTGTGCTGCAGCCAACCTCTGGATCTGGGGCCCGTTTTTATCAGAACTCCTGTGATGTTTCTGGTTCTGAGTGGATCTGGCCTCTGTCCATCTGAACGGTGGCTCCCTCCTTCTCTCTGATTCTAATTTAATCTCAGAGAGAGAAGGCGGTACCAGCAGAGACCCGATCAGTCTGATCCGCTCTAATAAAAACCAGAGCAGGTAAAGAGAAACTGGAGCTCCAGTCTGTCCCAGTTCCTGCTGCGACTCTGACCCAGTCTTGAAGGTCGGATGGTCTCTGTGGGCCTAGAGTCCAGAACCCGGTCCAATCGCTGGCTCGTAAGCAGCCAGAGGGGGAGGAGTTAATAAGACGATAAAAAAGATCCTCCTATGGTTCTGTTGATGAAGACATGATGACCTCATCAGCCTGTTTCTGTCACTTCATCAGCTTCTGGACTCTTAAAAAAAAAGAAAAAGAAAAAAGCAGCAGATGGACCCGTTAATAACAGGTAGAACCTCATTCTGTTTGGGTCCTGGTACCGACCAGAATGTTTCAGCCCATTTAGGCCGTTTGGCTTTGGTTAAAAGTTTGACCCTTGACCTTTAATTCTCCTGAAGAACTTTGATCTCATTAGAACAGAAATGCGTTTCCTGTCCTTCCTGCTGGGAGCCGCTATCAGTGTCACACTGATGGTTCTGAAGGTCGCCAACGCAGATAAAATGACCACAAAGTTCCCATTTAAACCAGCTTCAGCATTATTATTATTTACTTTTTATTTTTTTGACTTTTTACGGCACTGGTGGCTTTTTTTTTGGACACACGGCTGACAGGAAAGGGGGTACGAGATAGAGGGAGAGACATGTGGAAAGGACTCGAACCCTGGTCAGCCGCGTCAAGGACTAAAGGCCTGGTTATCCTCCCTCAGCAATGTGTCACAGGGAGCTTGTTCCAGATATTTTAGATTTATGCCCAATATTGAAGCGTGGTCTGCGCTACGTTATTCCACGCCACAAGGCCAGAGGGACAATCAGGAACTAGCTGTGGGTCTAGATACGACCAAGGCGGTGAGGAAGTGGGGAAGAGTTTGTGTGACAATGGAGGGACATGAGGTCCAAAAAGAGCGGGGATTCAGGTGGAAAAAGGGTCCCACCATTCTCGCGCACTTCGCTCTTCTAGTCATACAAACAAAACAAGCCGTTCAGGTACCAAACAGGAAATACGCATACAGTAGAGCGGATGTAGAATTGACCAATCAGAGGCCTCCTGTCTGCGGCACCGTCTGGGGTCACCTACAGTTTTGGGGAGGTGCACCCAAGTTTCTGTGGAAGGGGCGGGGCATATCTGTGTTTTCTGCGACACACGCAGATTACCTGGTTTCTGAGTATAAATCAGCATTAAGGCCTCCGTACATGGGTCATGTGCGCTAACCACTGCGCCACCGAAGCATGCCAAGCTTTAGCCTTTTATGCTAGCATCTACAGCAGCTAGTGTTAGCGTCTTGGCAGAATGTAGAAGCAGATTTTCCAAAAGGCTGCAGTGGTTTCCAATCAGGCATTTTCCAGGGCAGCCTAAAAGCCTTCCTGTTATTTGCTAGAAGTCCCGCTCTCTCAGTGAATCACAGACAGCTTCCTGTTGAACATCTCCATGGTTACCAATCGTTTCCTGGTTAAACTGCTTTTTTTTTCTCATTTCTATAACATTTCTTAAAAGTAGTGCCTCTAAAAAATGATTTTATTTTGTTATAAATTCTTCCACCCCCTGCAGTTACACTGTGCCCCCTCTAGGGGGAGCACCCCCACTGATCTAAAACATGAAGGTTCTGTCAGTGCCAGCTGGTGGCTCTGAACCCCAGAGGTTCTGGTTCTCCGGGTGTCAGCAGGTCGGTTGGTGAACGGCCACCACTGGAGTTCTGCTCGGTGTTTTAAACGCGTTCGTTCCCCGTTTATTTAAAAGTCCCTGTTGGTTTCCTCAGCAGGTCGGAGCCTCTGGTGGATGAGAGGAAACTTGTTTGGTAATTATCCTGAGAGGGGAGCGATGAGCAAGGAGGAGGAGAGAGCGAGGTTAGGACTGCAGGGAGAGAGGAGGAGGAGCAGGAGGAGGACAAGGAGGAGGAGGACAGTGAATCTGGAGGATTGATTGGATAAATGCGGTAAAACCTGGAGGGTTAGAGTTACTGCTGAGTGAGAGGAGGAGGAGGAGGAGGATGCGGCGCTGAGGAGGGAGAGGCAGGATGGAGGATGTTACCGGGACGAAGCTGATGTCTGCAGCTTAACCCCATTGGCTGGCAGGCGGCGGCTGCTCCGGCCAATCCCGTCTGACCGTGTGTGTGTGTGTGTGTGTGTGTGTGTGTGTGTCCTCTCCTCAGATGATGGGGAACAGCTGCGATCGAGGTATGTTTCTGTCATGTGACCCCGCCGTCTCACTTCCTGTAGCATGCTGCCTGAACTTTGTCTCCGGGACGATGAGCGGCGATGGCGGCGTCTGGGACCGCTGTGCCCCCCCCATCCCTCTCGTCCCATCGCTGGTTTCTGTGTGCATGAAAGTTTGCTTCCCTGCAGCGCGCCGCGGCGTGCAGCTGGAACCCGATCTGCTCCGCTGCATGATGCCTTCACTGCGGCTCCGACGGCCCAGAGCCGCAGGGCTCCATGCGTCCACAGCATGACAACATCATCTGGGCCGGTCCCTGGTGCCGACCGCCAGAACCGGATCTGAACCGACCGTTTTCTGGTTCTGGTTCTGTTGATGGTAGATTTTTGATCTGATTTAGCTGCTTCAGGCTGATGGAGCATCCAGAACCTGAAGCACTACTCTGTGGGTCCGGTTCTAAGCCGGATAGACCGGCAAGGTGCTGGACTGGACCGGAACAACAGAACTCACAGCTTGGATTTCAGGTTCTGGTTGATTTAACCTCCTGAAGAGCTTCCAGAAACACTGAGACCGGGTCCAAGGAGCGGACCCGGGGTTCTGACAGGAAACCAGGCTTCATTCATCAGAACATCTGATCCAATCTGGTTCCTCCATCAGCTCTCCCTGGTGGTACCAGGTGTTGGTTCTGCTGAGCTTCTGGGTGTTAGTGGCTGTTTAAAGGTTCTGGACGGTTCGTTTGAGAAAACCCAATCCAGAAGGTTCTGGAGCAGCAGGCTTAATGCTGAACCGGGTCTCAGGACCCAGAACCTGAGCTTCAGGCGGAGAGATGCTGTCCAGAGGAGAAACAGAACCGGTCCAGAATCTTGGCTTTGTTTGAAAACATGAAGACATTTTCAGTCCTTCCTGGTCCAAACACCTGCTGGTTCTGTCCAGCAGGAGAAGTGGACTCTGCAGGGATGAACCGGTCCGTTTGTTAACCAGAACCTTTGCTCTCTGTCTTTGCAGAAGCATCTTCGGATCGTTCTCCGAGGAGGAGGAGCATCTCCGGACCGGGCTCAGAGAAGAACCTCGCTCTAGACAGTCCCAACTCGTCTCCGTTCAAGGTTCCGGTGAGTAGAAGACGTTCGGACCGGTCCGCTGGTCAGAACCAGGTGAAAGGCTCGCTCAGAGGCCTCTGCTGGAACAGTTCTGCTCCAGGTTCTGGTCTCTAAGGTCCGGCTCTGGTTGTCAAAGAACCAGACTGAGCGGTTCAGTCCAGGTGGACCAGCTCCTTTCACAGTTCTGATTCGACCCACTGCAGCTCAGAACCGGTCCGAATCCAGGCTGCTCATCTCCAGTCTCTGACTGATGATCAGCAGAACCATGTAACCCGGTTCTCCTTGGCCTGATGGCGCTCAGGGCCAACATGTTCTGGTCTGATTCAGACAGAGACCGCTGATAGACCAGAGGAATGGACCAGAACCAGACCAGAACACTGTTCTTTTACGTAGAGAAGTAGAGAAGCGGCCTCTAGAACCAGGTCTACAGGAATAAAGCTGCATGTTGACCCAGTTCCTGTTTAATTATGGGGTGCCATCCAGCAGAAAGCAGAATCAAGGTCCAGTTGGAGTCATTTCCTCTCTGATTCTACCAGTCCAGAACTCAGGTTCTGCTTCATTAGAAGAAGGTTCTGTGAACAGAAACAGAACCACCATTGAAACATATACTGACTAATAAGCCCATCAACTGATCTGGACCCGATCACCGGTGTTAACCCGCCCTGATAGGACCCGACCAGCCTGGCTCTGTTAGCCAGGAGGCTGTAGTACCAGGATCAGACACAGGGGGCGCTGTAACCCACAGCAGACTGAGGTTAAACCTTTATAGGCAATACAGTCAAATCTAAATTTCAAGCCTATAGTGTTATTGGAATTCAGGACAATAAGAAACTGGATATTTTGATGGCAAAAATGATTTAAATGTAATAAGAAACGCCGTATTGCCCGAATATATTAAGAAAAATAACAAATGTGCTTCTGTAGGAAATTCATGAAAAACACGCTGAGGGGAAAGATTTTGATTTGATCAGTTTTTACAATAATGAAAGCGGTTCAACTGTGTGTCAGAATACTCATGTATTTTATCTTTTCCTGTCACATTAAACACAAAGTGCAAACTTGTAAATCAGTTTAAACTTGAGATGTGAACACAACTGTCTCATAAGTGCAAACTTGTTAGGGAAAAGTGAAAAAGTGAACCCACAATCGTGACACAGCGGAGACACAGCAGACATTCATGAGCTGCATTATCTCCACTACACAAACCATATTTGCAGCATTTTCTGTAACAACTACAAGGTTTTTGCTGCTAAGCCTCCATTTGTTAATCTCTCCAGTCAACCTGTTGGCTATATTTGCAGCTGTCTGGCTTGAAGTCATCTTTAGTGCGTCTTTCCTGCTCATTTGAATGTGAACGTCACGCTCGTCACTTTAAAAATAATCAATCTCATTCCCTAGACATCGATTCTGCAAAAATGTAAAGGAATCGATTCAAAATCGATTAAATTTATTTTTTTACCCAGTCCTACTTAGAGGCTGAACTTACATTTTATAGTTCATAAACCTAAAATAACTGTTTACTTTTTAACTTTTTCACTTAGCTTTTTACCTTTTCTTCCTTAACATTTTTATTTCAAGTTATCATTGAAGAGCTCATCTAATTGGTCAAATGCTAAAATAAGATGTAAAGCCATGTAGCAGGATCTATGCTGAATGGATGGATATAGAAAGGGTAAAACAGAACCGGTTCTGGAACCATTCATGAAAGGCGATGGTTTCGACTTTAATTGTGTAAATCAAACAGTTCTCAGCAGAAAGCCTCTCACACTGATCCTGGTTCTGGTTCTGGTTCTGGTTCTGCTGGAGGTTTGTTGCATGCTCAGTGTGAGTGATTGCTGCTATCAGCTGGTGTTCAGTCTGGATGATCTGATGGAATCAGAATCGGCCCCATAGAAATAAACTGGGATGAATAGAAATGTCATTAGCAGATCCACCCTGAGAGATCTTATTATTATTATTATTATTATTATTATTATTATTATTATTATTATTATTCATGTGTTCCTGAATTTCCCTGAACTGTTTTAGCAACTTAGAATGTATTCATAAAATATGTTTTTTTTAATATTGTGTTTATTAGGTATTTTGAACATTTATACAGAGAAAGAAAAAGGAAGAATAAAAAAAATAAACAACAGGACGAACATAGACAGCTCTAATACAGAAAACAAAACTAAAGGCATGTGCATAAATTATAGCAAACATTTGAGGAAAAATAACCAATATATACATAAACTTCATCATATACATCATTGGGATTGACATTACTGGTCTTTTAATTTTGAAAGTTGGAAGTATTTAGAGTACATTCCTATCTTTTTTTTTTAAAGCGTAGAATTTCCCATTCAGACAGTATCTTCATCTTTCTCATAGAATGAATTCAGAAAGTAAGTTTTTCCATAGCTGGATTGAAAGGGCATCACTACTAACCCATTTAAGTGTTATTGATTTTCTGGACAACATCAGTAGGAATTACATGTCGTCTCTCAGTGAGCGTCAGACTGGATCTGAACCAAGGAGGCACAGCGCCGAGCCAGGGAGGCGTGTTTGTCCTTTAGCACGCCTCATTACTCCACATGCTGCCCACTGTAAACTAGTAGGGGTGGAATGGTTCACAAACTCCACGGTTCGGTTCACGGTTTCGTGGTCACAGTTTTCGGTTCGCTATATGTTGATTGTTAGCATGACATGTTGGTCGTGTTGCTGTTAGCATAAACAAAATGTGTTGCACAATGCTTGCACACTGTTGCACTTTTATCCACAGCTTTCTTTCCGCCGTCATCGTAGGTCACTCTAAATGCAAAGTGGTCCCATACAGCAGACCTATAAAGTGCTGCTGGCGCGTCTTCCAACTCCTGTTCTTTCCCACTCGCCATACCCACACAATTCTCCACAACAACTGATTTTTTTCTGCTACACCCGGCTACGCTGCTTCGCTTCTTCTTCTTCTTGTTTACTACTGGTGGTTGGCTTTGGTCGCAGTACTGCCACCTTCTGCTCTGGAGTGTAAACGCTTCGCCTATGAGAAAAAGGAGCAGCGCATGAATCAAACCGAGACAGTCGAACCGAACGGTTCGGACGGTTTTCATAAACTGTTCCATCCCTATAAACTAGGGGTGTAAATCACATCCATCATGGTGATTCGATTCAGTATCGATTTCCTGACCCAACGATTCGATTATTTTCGATACTCAAGAATACACTACGATACAATTCGATTAATTGGTTCTTTTTTTTTTTTTACATTACAGGCTAGACAATGTTTCAAATTTGAAATAAATCAATGAAAGCTGTAATATCTTTATGCATTTTTCTTTAAGAAACAACAGCAAATAGCAGAAGTAGAAAAGTTGCATCAAAAAATACTGCAAAAAATCAGTGCAATGAGTGCAATGCAATACCTCAGCTCCAGACGTCCCGCCCCCTCTACAGACGCTCCGCTGCTTCTCTCCCAAATTGTAACTATGCGCAAACGGTGCCGAAACAGGAGGCCGGCTTGTTTTGTTTTTATGACCGAAATTGCAGAAAACAACTCCTGAAGTTTGACCCGCTAGAAGAGCGAGGTGCGCGAGAACGCTGGGAGCCTTTTTCCACCTGGATCCCCGCTCTTTTTGGCCCTCATGTCCCTCCGTCGTCGGACTAAACTCGCCCCCACTTCCTCGCCGCCTCGGCCGTATCTAGACCCACAGCGTGTAGCACAGACCACGCTTCAATATTGAGCATAAATCAAAAATGTCTGCATCAAGCTCACTGCAACAAACTGCTGTAAGAGTTTAACCAGGAAGCGCGGTAGGAGGGCAAAATAGGTTTAGCGCCACCACAGCACGGGAGGGAGAATTACACCCAGGAGCAAATGGATAAAAATAGACCAGAGGAAAAAAAAAAAAGACATGAATCGATTCTCTTGCGGACGTATCGATGAATCGGATCGTCGGCTGTTGGATCGATGCATCGATACAAAACGATTATTATTTACACCCCTAGTGTAAATAGTAATCTCTAGTCCCTCCAATCAGTTTACATTTGCTACTTGCTATTTATATGTGGAGATATGTATACATTTTGTAAAATATTATATTGCATTTATAAT